CGTGGTGCTTCTTGTAGTTGTGATGTCTCCATCTGTGTGTGTCGGCTTCTGGAGGGCAGGAGCTGTGCCTTCCTTCCCCCACATCCTAACCACAGTGCATAGCACTGCACTCTACACTGAGTCAGCAGGGCCTGACTACTGTTTACAAAATCAAGGGTAGGCCAGGCGTGGTGGCTCACGCCTGTAATCCCAGCACTTTGGGAGGCCAAGGCGGGCGGACCACCTGAGGTCAGGAGTTTGAGAACAGCCTGGCCAACATGGTAAAACCCTGTCTCTACTAAAAACACAAAAATTAGCTGGGCATGGTGGTGGATACCTGCGTTCCAAGTTACTCGAGAGGCTGAGGCAGGAGAATCTCTTGAACCCGGGAGATGGAGGTTGCAGTGAACTGAGACCACGCCACTGCACTCTAGCCTGGGCTACAAGATTGAGGCTCTGTCTCAAAACAAAAATAAGATAAAAAATGAAATCAAGGGTAAATGCTCTTAAAGACTTATCAACTTTTACAAGGTAGGGATTCACTATTTTCAAATAATGCCAGAAAAACAAGAGAACCTTTGAAGAAAGAGGTGATAAAATGCTCCCTCTTCACCTCCAGCTTTCTGCTTCCACCTTGAAAGCATCTTACTAAATGTCCAGCACAGTTGGCCAAAAACGTGCTTGGGAAACCCAATTGAAGGTATAAGATGAGGCTGAATGTGGTATGAATTTGCAAATTTGAGTCTTAGAATTATGCCTCAATTTGGTTGAATTGGCTCTAAGACAGAAGAAACTGCTTTCATGGAGTGAATTATTAGGAGCTGGGAAGACCACATTACCCCTGAGTTACAATTTTTCTTGTGAATCTTTCTGTCTGTAGTTTATGATTTGGTGGAAATGTAGGGAGCTTGGGAGGTAGAGTCAGAAAACTTGTGTTCTAACCCCCCACCCCCTATTCTGACTCTAATTCACTGTGACCTTAGGCAGGTCACTTAACCTCTCTGAGCCTCTTTTTCTTCATCCATTCAGTAAATACTACTGAGTGCCTACTCAGTGCTGGGCACTGGGCATCAAGTAAGATGGTTTGTGTCAAAGTAATTTGTAAATAAATCCTGTAAGAATTATTGATGTTTTCCTGGTTAAAATGCAACCTTTGGAGGAGAGCACTTTGAATAGTAATCTATCCTTGTGAGTGATTCTTAGCATTTTAGAGCTTTGACAGGGAAAGAAAGGGAAAGGAACAGGACACAAGACCCTGGGATCACTAGAGACAAATTTGGTCCATGACTGGATCTGAGGAGGGGTAATTATATGGGGAAAAAGTTGTGAAGTTAGTCCACACAAGTCCTGTTCTAAAATACTAGCAAATAATTTTGGGTGTGCAAGAACCCATTCAAAGCAGCAAATACAGTGAATCAAACAGCTTACACATACTTTGAGTCCATTCCCAGCAATTTATACAAATGTGCCCCTTTTGCCCAGACTTCACTGTGCAATATATCCATGTAACAAAACAGTGCTTGTACCCACTAAATCTATAAAAAAAAAAATTTTTATCACCTAGGCCTAGAAGTTTTCCAGTCATTTTCATTTTCTCTAATGATTAATTTCTGTTAATTGTTGTTGCACTTGAAGCCCACTTTCAGGATCTACACCTCTCCCTGAGCTATAAGACCATGATCTGGTGTTCTAATTCAGCACCTATTTCCTCCTGCCCCATTTTCTTTTTTTTTTCTTTGTTTTCTTTTTTTCTTTTTTTTTTTTGAGACAGAGTCTCGCTCTATCGCCCGGGCTGGAGTGCAGTGGCGCAATCTCGGCTCACTGCAAGCTCTGCCTCCCGTATTCACGCCGTTCTCCTGCCTCAGCCTCTGGAGTAGCTGGGACTACAGGCGCCCGCCACCACAACCGGCTAATTTTTTGAATTTTTAGTAGAGACGGAGTTTCACCGTGTTAACCAGAATGGTCTCGATCTCCTGACCTCGTGATCCACCCACCTCGGCCTCCCAAAGTGCTAGGATTACAGGTGTGAACCACCACACCCGGCCCTGCCCCATTTTCTAATTTCTACATTTCTGGCCAACCATGTTTGTGTTCTTGTGCTCCTTTGAGGCATGAAGTAGAATAAGACATATTAAAGACATATATAAAGCTCCCTTAGGTTGGAGTGAAGAAGGAATTGTTATGAACCCAAATGGGAATTTTAGAACTGTTAAACAGATTACATGTTAAACATTATGCTATAACAAACAGATTAATGATCTTGGAAAGTCTGGGTTCATTTTCAACAGTATGGGTTACCAGGCTCAGGGACACAAGGGTAACACAGAGATCCTTAAAGCAGCGAGAGAGCGAGTGATGCTGCATTTTTGTTTCAGTATCACAATGGAAGTCTAGGGACAGCTGCTACACAGTAAACACTATGCTGGGCCCTGGGTAAATAAAGGTGAATGAGATGCAGTCTTTGCCACGTGTAAGCAAAACTTCAGTGTGATCTGTTTGTGTTCTACCAGACACCTTTATTCATTTCTTTATTCATTCAACAAACCTGACTATGGGACCTTCCTACAGGGTTTGGCTTTGAGTCTCCAGGCAGTGAAGGTTTTGGAAGAAGGATATGATCTGATTGGAATGGTGTTTTAATAAGGTCAAGGACTGAAGGAATGGCTTAGTGAAGTTAGGGCCTGCTGACTAGTAAATCAATTAGGAAGTCAGGGAAATCTCCCAGGGAGATAATTTGCTCATGAAGGAACATCATATATTAAAATGTATACTGTTCTGTCTCACTGTGAAAGGAAAGGAAAAATCAACAAAGAAACACAAAATATAGCACTGGTTTTTAGAATAATGCTATAGGACTCATTTCAATTCAGGTATCACCAAATAGACCATGTGGCTCAATTCTAGTATGGATGTTTAGTCCCTCATTGCTGGTGAGACCAAGCTGTATATGATTTCTCCCCTGTGTTCAGATGGAGACATGGAGGAAAATGTGATGTATTAGTTACCTATAAAATATTACTACAAACTTAGTCTTAAAACAACACACATTTATTATGGTGCAATTTTTGTGGGTCAGGAGTTCAACATTGCTTAGCTAGGCCTTCTACTACTTCAGGGTCTCACAAAGCTGCAGTCAAGGCATTGGCCAGGGCTATGGTCTCATCTGAAGTTTGACTGGGGAAGGGTCTGTTTCCAAACTTACGTTGGCAGCATTCATCTTCTTGTGGTTGCAGGACTGAGGGCTTCAGTTTCTTGTTATTGTTGGCTGGAGGCCACCTTCAGCTCCAGGAAGCCACTTTCAGGCCTTTGCCACATGGGCCTTTCAACATGGTCTCTTGCTTCTTTGATTCCAGCAATGGAAAGAGTTGCCTCAGAATATGAGTACATAACCCAATCTTATGTAATGTAATCATAACACATAATCATGTACATTCTGTCATCTTGCCATGTTCTATATGGCTAGAAGAAAATCAGTACGCCAGCCTGTTCTGGCCCTACAGGGATGTGAACACCAGGAGGCAGGGATCATGGGGGACACCTTAAGAGGCCGTCCGTCTACTATGTGTAATGTTTACTGACTTGGTGAAGGCTCCCAGAAAATATTGGGGTTGTCACAAAACCACCCTGTGTTTTTGTACACACATGTAATCTTTGTTCCATGTAATCCTGGGAAATTGATCCAGAGTCTTCCCACTCCCCTAATGCTTCAGGCTGATTGTTTTTAGCCCTGCTGGAAGGTTGAAGCAAAACCTGTTTAATTACCTGTTGGCTGGAATCCTGGTGGTAGCAGCAGTTGGTATTGGTGTTATTTTCCTTTTCCTTTTTATTTTGTTTTGTTTTATTAAATATTACCTTCTTTACCTGAAAGATTTTGTATCTTTTGTTTCTAAATAGTCATTTGAGGAAAATTAACAGAGGCAGGCAAGATTCCAGACAACATGCTTAGTTTTCAGGTAGCAATTTCAAGCATTCTGTTTATTCGTTTAATGATAAGTCATAAGAAAAGAAGCTTAACTGTTCTTAGAAAAGCTAATCCTGGCACCACGATGGATTTACCTTGAGCATATCTTTCTGTCTCAATTTCCCTACCTATAAATCCACAGGGTGCAATATCCATACTAACAAGATATTCCAAAGGGAAATAATAATTTTTGAACATAAACTGAAAATCCTGCATAATAGAAACATATTTGTATTCTGCACTGTTGAGAAGAACTTTGCCACACAGCTTTAAATAATTTGTCATGCACTAAAGTACCAGGTACTCTGCTTGTTCTTAATTTCCTTTTCTTACAGAATCTTGCCAGTGACCTTGAAAGGCAGATATTATTCTCTTCATTTTGCAAATGATGAGTCTGAGATTCATAGATGTTTAATGAATCCAAGGCCATACAGTTGTGAGTCACAATTCTGCCTGATTTTACGTCCTGTTAACCTGTTGTTGCACCGGGAATTATAGAACTAATAATGCCAGTCCCTCACTCAGATTGCCATTAGTGGCAGTTTTCTAGAAACAAGAAGGGGCAGAAAGTAAAGGGAATCTTCTTATATATCATTGCTCTCTGAGAATAAGTGTTATAGAAAAGCCAAAGGTCAAATTGCATGATATTTTCACCTTACAATATAAAAACATATCTACACTATAGAATACTTGGAATACAATGCAGCTTTAAGAAAAAGAAAAGGAAAGAAAGATGGTGAAAGATGAAAAGATTGCCAAGACATACTGTTAGATTTCTTTTTTCAAGTTATGGAAATTTGGGCTGGGCATGGTGGCTCACACATGTGATCCTGGCACTTTGGGAGGCCAAGGCAGGTAGATCACTTGAGTCCAGGAGTTTGATGTCAGCCTGGGCCACATGGTGAAACCCTGTCTCTGTTTTTAGAAAGTACAAAAGTCATCCAGGCATGGTGGCACATGCTTGTAGTCCCAGCTACTTGGGAGCTGAGGCAGGGGGATCGTTTGAGCCCAGGATGCAGAGGTTGCAGTGAGCCAAGATCATGTCCTTGTATTCTAGCCTGGGACACAGAGTGAGACTCTGTCTTAGGAAAATAAAAAATAAAAATAGAGTTACAGAAATTTAAGTATGATATCATTTGTGTGCTAAGCTAAGCCACCACAGAAGAATTCTGCTTATTTTTCAAAGATACATCCATGCATAGAAAGCAGTCTGAAAGGATAACACCCTAAATTCATAGAATTGATTCTGAGTTAAAACCCTAAATTGGTTCTTGCTGAGGAGGGGGCCTGGTGGCTCCAATGGCAGTCTAACATTTAATATTTAAAGTTTTTACAAGGAGAAATAATTCATGTGTTACTTGTATAACTAGAAGTTCGAGGGTTTTTTTAAGTAAAATATTGAACACAAAGTCAGCCCACCGGTGTCTTGACTAGCCACGGTCAAAAGTTGGAGCTATTTGTAAGTCATTTCGACAACAAAGAAAAGGATGAACTAAAAATACTATGTCATCAAGATAGCTTTTTCCTCCAGAGATTTCTATATCAGCTGGTGCTTTGATGTCTGGCCATTATCTGAATGGGGCGTCTGCTCAGGGATCAGCTATGACCACCCTAGGGAGAGTTCCGTGATGAGCCATGTTGGGGACAGAAGGATGAGTGAGCAGCTCTGCTTCCTTCGAGACATCTCTGCTCTTCACCGGTTTGTCTTAGCTTAGGTAATCTTCCAGGGCTAGATGATTGTAGGGGGTAGGGGAAAAGATGAAGGGGTTAAATGATGGAGAAGAGAAGGGTACCAGAAGAAACTCTTCTTTGAAGTTAAAAGCATTGAATTCTAGACATCTGCTAGGGATCATTTAATATCCAGGCTGATTAATTCAGCTGGGAAGCAGTCTATAGAAGCTGGTATGGACTCCATTCCTTGGTGAGCCATCACTTATTTCTTAGAAGAAATGGCATTAGAGCTTAACTGTTTTTCTAGCTCTTGCAAAGCATGTAATTGATGCAAAATTAGCTAGGTCCCAAGCAATATAACATCAAAGAAATATCTGCTAGCTGGACAATTTTTTCTAATCCACATTAAAATAAATACATATATAACTGTTAAAATAAAAATGTATTTATACATATGCATCTTAAAATCTCACATTTAACTAGTGATGCATGGGCCATGGTTGGGGAAACGCTGCAAGAAATGTGATCAGCTTGGACTTTGGAGAGGAACTGAGTTCAAATTTTGCCTCCACAACTAACTTGGTAACCTGAGAACTTAACCTTCTTAGCTTTCATTCCCTCATCTCAGGGTGGACTTACTAGTAGTTCCTACCTCATATGGCATTCTTCAGAATTACTTAAGCTAGTGTCTATAAAGGATAATGTGTAGTGCCTACAAAATGTTAGTAAAAAAGATCTTTTGCAAATAATAAAACAAATGCCAAGACCTTGATTAAATATAACTTCTGCAAAACATGCCATCTTTTGAGGATGGTTCAATGCTCAACCTCTTATTTTGGGAATTTGTATGTGTATGTGGGTTTTGGCGCCCTCCCACACACACTTTTTGGGCCTCTTTTTATTAATACTTTGACTGTAATTCATGGAATTACCTATTTCAAATCAATCTGATGGCTGAAGAAGGTAAAGCATGGAATCACAGTGATTACATAGCTACTCTGAAATGCATAGAATCACACCCAAAGAATTTTTCTAATTAAATGCTCTTTGTGGGGGTGAGGTCTCTGAGTATGAAACTATGTAACTAAAGACTTAGAAACATCAGATTGTGGGCACTTATGTTTAAACTTAAATTTTTAAAATTTCTGGTTAACTGTGTGCATAGAAAAGTGAAGTTGATTCAGCTACTCAGCTTGTAAGTGACTGCCATGATGGAGAAAGTGGGAGTGTGAGCTGTGCAGAGCTGATGGCAACTAATTGGGTAAGTTATGTCTAAATGGACGACATGGAAGATCTCATGTAAGACCAACAAGCAGGAGCATGCTACAGCCGAAAGGGGGATTTGGTTGAGGAAGCCCATCCAGTAAGTAGCCACCAAGTTCTTCTTCTCGCCACCTCTTTGAAATTTCTGCCTGACTAGCTGGTGGTTGACTCAAGCTTTTCCTACCATTGCTACTTTAGGGAAAGATCCCAGCCAAGGTTAATTGTTCATCTCACTCTTGCACTGAGATGTCACAGTGGGCATATCTAGGGATCTTAATAATTCATCATTCTGTTTTGACCTGAACTTGATCAGTATAGATGAGGAACCAGGAGTATTTATGTATTGGGGGCAAAGAGAAGGGGTTTTCCATGTTTTTGCATCCCAAAGTGCTAATTTAAATATTCTTAGGATCAGGTGACATATTCTGGTACAAACAGCTTTCTTTGGCACTGCTTAACTGTGTGTATGTTAATAACAGGAACTTTGCTGTTTTAATCTTACAGTTTTTTAAAAAACCTTTTCTATCTCAGTAAATCTGTCTAACCATGAAATTTAATAAAGCAACATTCTAGAAATTCTTACCAAAGAAAATGAAAAATTTTAATCTTTATCTCATGAAGGAAATGAAATTTTTTTTTAATTTTTGAACAAATAATATTAATGTTATAATATGTCAGCAGGTGAATTTCCAAATGCACTCCTGGTTGCTCTTTCAGCCATTCAGGAATAAGATTTGTGTTCTCAGTTTTAAAACTAGGTTCAGAGAACAGGTCCCTAGAAACATGAGTCAGGGCAGAGATGAGCTTCCATCTTGGTGTCTCAAACAAGCTTTTATTGATTGCTTATGATGCTTACTCACAGTACTGCACTGAGTCCCCTGGCAAACACCCACTTCTCCTGTGAGAGATGGTCTGTAAACAATGAACTGGGGCTCAGGGAATGCGTGTTGTAATAGAGATATTTTTAAAAGCAGACATTTTATGGGAGCATACTTGGAGCCTCAACCTTCTTACCTGTAAAGTGTGGGAACTGGACGCATCTCTGTTCCCTTTCCAGCTTTGAAACTCTGGGATCCTACAGAAACACTGACCACTTCTTGTCCTAGAACATTTGTTTTGCGTGATCATTGAATAGTAAATACACCATTGGATGCTGTAAATATTTATGATCCCCTAAATGGGGGTGTTTTTTCCTGTTGTTGACTGTTGTTGGCTGGCTCTCCTACACACTGCATGCATTTTTCAGTGAGTCTAGCAGAGAAAGCCTGTACCTCTCATTTGAAGAATGTCCAGGATGGTCTTAAAAAGCAAGTTATTTGTCTCAAAGTGCTAAAAATATCCACCTAAGAAGAAGGTGGGCTTCCAGAGCTCCGTCTGATCCTCCATTTCCTCTTAGCAACTTGAAGGAAAATGCAGAGGATGACACACAGCCAAGATGAGATAATGCCTGGGATCTGGGGGTTGAAGTCATTCCCGGGAGGATTCCTGTCAGATGAAACGTTTCCGGGCCTAAGAGCACCAGGATCCTTCGGAATTGTACCACTTTCTTTCCCAGATTTTGCAGACCTAGGGACCAGACCCTCCCTTCCTCAGGTGGGTAAAAGGTGGTAACATGATCCTGTGTTGTGAGCTGTCAGGTTCTAAAGGAGGGTAGCTTTCTATGGTCAACATCCTTGCGATGATGATTTGATGCAACCAGACCACATCAGTGAAAGCTCAGCTGCCAGACCCCTTGAGATCTGGGGATAGGGTGCAGAGTGCAGACAATTTGATTAGACAACCAAGACATCATTCTTCTTTGTTTCGTTGTTTTATATTTTTAATAAGCTTTCATTTTGGAATAATTTTAGGTTTACAGAAAAGTTGCAAAGGTAACACAGAGAGTTCTTATTTGCCTTTCCCAGCTTCCCCTGATGTTAACGTCTTACATAACGCAGTATATTTGTCAAAATCAGGAAAGTAACATTGGTTTAGTACTGCTAAGGAAACGACAGACTTTATTTGGATTTCACTACACAGTCTTGCCTAGGCTGGTCTTGAACTCCTGGGCTCAAATGATCCTCCTACCTTGTTCTCCTAAAGTGCTGGGATTAGAGGCATGAGCCACTGCACCCGGCCAGATCATACAAATTATCATTTGCCTTTTTTAGATGACACACAATGACCATCTATCATTATACTTTGCTATAGTGTGTTGATCTCTTGGTATTTTAGGGCTGTTTAGTCCCAGGAATTTGTGCTTTTTGAATTCTCAGGTCGGCTCATCATAGTATTTCTAGCTCCCCTCTCATTACTAAGCTGTCAGCTGTTGTTTCTCTCCACTATCAGCATTTTTGTCTGTGCAGACCTTGTTCCCACATCTAAACTGCAGCTGCTAACTGTTAAGATAATATAACTGTGTATATATGGAAAGAAAAGTACCTGTAAATGAGGCACATGGACAACATTAATGTGTGGATTTTATGACTTTTTAAAAAGCCCTTTTATTATCTTATTTCCCAGTTTTGGACCAGATTTTGAGGTAAAAACAATGAAAAGTGAAATAATAATTTAAGTAATAGATAATTAAGTAATATCATATTTTAATAGCTAAATATATGGGAGTGAATATCTGTCTTATGTAGAGATTTGTACAAAAAACATTCACCCCAGTATTATGTTCTTCCATGCACTTAAGTTATCCTTTAACTTGGTAAACATTGATCTATGTAAAATTTTTAATTATTTCCCCCCACAGTGTTTTCTACATACTTTACAAAACTGTTTATTGTGAAAAAGTTGGGAAATATAGATAAGTTGTTTTTTATACCATTATTGTTAAAGGGCTACATAATATTACATGTTATGGCTGTATTTAGCCCATGGAGTATGATATTTATGTTGTTTTTATTTTTAAAAAATAGGCATTTTCCTGTGATGAACATTCTTACTTTTGCACACAGTCTTCTTTTACACATATCCAAGAGGCTATATTCCCATCAGTGGAACTATTGAGCCAAAAATGCACACTTTGATGGTTCTTAATGGCCACTTCCACATTTAGCAGTGTGTTAGAAATATGTAAGTTTCTGGCTGCTGGAGGAAGCTTGTAATCCTACTGTTCTAGCATGTTGTTCAGGTGGCTGTGTGCACATCATGGCAAAGGAAACAGCCCTGACCTGACCAGAATCGCTGGTCATGTATTCATGGTGGGGTGAACTCAAACAGTCAGAACTAAGCATTTTCAGGTAACTTATTGACTCCTTGGGGGAAACCGTTTGTCAGGACCTGCTGCAGTTTATTGTGACCTCATCTACAGAAGGCGATGGCCTTGGAGTAGAGGGTTTACAAGGGGGCAGGTTTCCACAGGCCCTGCTCCATACAACATTTTTTACCCTCCAGCTTTTAGTAGCTTCATGAAATAGTCTATTTCTTGAATAATCGTCCTCTTCAATTCTCATTGGTAATTATTGGACCATCTTTTATCCTCATGTTTTCTGCCTGATGGACTGTTAGGCAGAGCTTCTTGGCAAGTTTTCTAGCCAATTAAAGATGGAAGACTAATTCCATTGAGCAGTCAATTCCAGTTAGCTCAGCTGGTGGGATTGTGGCATTAATGCAGGACCATAAGACAAGGGTTTGATCCTACATGAACTCGGTCAGCCGTGCTCTTTTCAGAGTATGGTAGCAGAGTAGAAAAATGTCTGGTCTCTTTGCTTGCTCCCTCCCCTTCCTTTTAAGTAAAGTCTCTTTTATTTAGACTCTTCTGGGCTATAGGAGTCACCAATTTTTAATTAGCACCAATCTTTGCAAAAGCTAAAAATACATTTTCTGAACCTCCTGACTCTGATCCTGACTCTTCACTTTCTTTAGGAAACCATTTGCTTATCAAATAAAGTGTGCTTTCTGCAGGTTCTTGAAAGCATGAATTCATGCCGCATATTTGGAGAATGGGTCTTCTGAAAGAGGGTGAAATAAAGACTACGTAATGCAGACTGATTCTTTCACATCATCCTTGGCCTTTATACAGTGACTTTTTGTTTTGTTTTGAGACAGGGTCTCACTCTGTCACCCAGGCTGGAGTGCAGTGGTGCAGTCACGGCTCACTGCAACCTCGACCTCTCAGGCTCAGGTGATCCTCCCACCTCAGCCTCCTAGGTAGCTGAGACTACAGGCGTGCACTGTCACACCCAGCTAATTTTTGTATTCTTTTGTAGAGATGGGGTTTTGCCATATTGCCCAAGCTAGTGTCAAATTCCTGGGCTCAAACGACCCTTCTACCTCAGCCTCCCAAAGTGCTGGAACTACAGGCGTAAGTTACTGTGACTGGCCCACAGTGACTTTTTGTATCTTGTCTGATTGTTGTATAAAATCTTTAGAACTGGTTTGTATCATTCAGAATAAGGCAAAACAAGAACAAAATCCAGGTGGGTAGGGAATGGGTTGAAAACACTTTGGCATCCCAAATACGATTGTAGGGACTCTGTGGGTGAGTGAGTGAATGAGTCACAGAATAAATACATTCTGAATGAATGGATGAGGCAACTAATCAATCTCATGGTGAGATTTATACTGTTTCAGAACTAATTTTTAATTTAAATTGTTTCCCCAACCATATCCCATTTCCCAAAGAAGAATAATAGATTGAAGTTAGTGGAGCATTTCTGTGCACAAAGAAAGTATGAAGAAATCCTGAAACACTTACACTAATGCTGACTTTCTTCCCTAAAGGAAAGAGATGAACTTTATTCATTAGGAGTTTTTCATCAACTATTGATCAAAAATACACATCTGTTTTTCAGTCTGTTTTTTCCAAATATTGGTAACTCAGCCTCATTCAGAGCTATCTGAAGAATAAGGAAAGACCAAGAGTGATAAGGCAGCTTTCATTAATCAGATGTGAACGGGATACCTTGGCCTGCTAAATTGTGTCAGGAAGGTCATTTTTACCACAGAAATACTCACACTAAACACCGACAGTTTTTCTAAGAGACATGATTTTTCTCCCTTTTGGGAAACTGAGGAAACAAAGACTTAAGTCATTTCTTGACTCTCTGAGAAATCCTTTTTCCACAGGAAGTCTGTGTGGAAGTGCATGATTCAATTTTTGTATTCTTTTTTCCCCAGAGGTCAGGGATGAACCATGGGTGACTCAGCCACAGGTCCCTTTATTTATCAGGCCTATTTTAGCTATCCGGCCTGGGGTGTGTTGGACTTTATGGGTCATGTTCTGTGCTGTATGAAAAGGGGAAGAGAGGTGCATTCTGCTTTTTTTTTTTTTTTTTAAGACAGAGTCTTGCTCTGTCGCCCAGGCTGGAGTTCAGTGACGCGATCTCGGCTCACTGCAAGCTCCACCTCCCGGTTTCACGCCATTCTCCTGCCTCAGCCTCCCAAGTAGCTGGGACTACAGGCACCCGCCACCACACTCGGCTAATTTTTTTGTATTTTTAGTAGAGACGGAGTTTCACTGTGTTAGCCAGGATGGTCTCGATCACCTGACCTCGTGATCCACCCGCCTCGGCCTCCCAAAGTGCTGGGATTACAGGCTTGAGCCACCGCGCCTGGCCAGAGGTGGTGCATTTTAAGTCTTTCTGCTAAAGCTAAATAGTTATTCTGGGGAGGCAATACAGTCCTTACACATGGCTTAGACCTTTGAAAGTGGAAATAGCAATTAATTAAACAATTAAGTCATACTCTGAATTAATGCTGTTATTTAGCATTAATTTAGCATATTATTTAGCATGTCTTATAATTATTTAATTTTAATGCATGAAATAGGGGTGAACATGTGCTTTTAAAAAGGCTAACGTTAGGCTGGGCATGGTGGCTCACACCTGTAATCCCAGCACTTCGGGAGGCCGAGGCAGGTGGATCACCTGAGGTCAGAAGTTCGAGACCAGCTTGGCCAACATGGTGAAACCCCATCTCTACTGAAAATACAAAAATTAGCTGGGCACGGTAGTACGTGCCTGTAATCACAGCTACTCAGGAGGCTGAGGTAGGAAAATTGCTTGAACCCGGGAGGCGGAGGTTGCAGTGAGCTGAGATCGCGCCATTGCACTCCAGCCTGGGGGACAAGAGCAAGACTTCGTCTCAAAAAAAAACAAACAAACAAAAAACAAAAAAGCCTACTGTTAAAATTATGAACACATAAAACAAGATAATTTAGGGAATTTATATTTAGAATACTTTTAGGTAATAATTCACCACAATTCATCTTTAAGTAAAAAGTACCAGAATCCATTTATTTTGACATGTTTCAAACTTTTACTTCTTTATTATACTAGCACTATGTGGATGTTGTAGAAAATTATAAAATAAAGGTAAATTAAAGAAAGACTATTAAAATCATCTTTTTGGTACTCTTTATATTTTGGAGTATAGCCCTGCTAAATGTATGTTTACATGGACACACAAATAGGATCACATGATGCACAGATACTGCTTTGTGTCTTGCTTGTCTTATTTTGGTACACATCAACATTGTTCCTGTTCATATTTATACCTGGATATTGTTATTCTTTCTTTCTTTTTTTTTTTAGACAGAGTCTCACTCTGTCACCCAGGCTGGAGTACAATGGCACCGTCTCAGCTCACAGCTTCCCGGGTTCAAG